ATTGTACCGTACAAAACAGTTTTTGTGAAAAAAATTGCTATTTTTTAGTTAAAATTGCAGAAGTCAATAATTAGGTCTTTAATGATTTGTAAACATTGAAAATGTTGATCCATTACTTTAATCAGATTCCATAAAGTAGTATTCTTAAATGTATGTTGAAGTTTAATGGCATTCTTAGCAAATTCTTTATGTTCAAGGAAGGAATGAAGATTTTTAATTATTAATTTCAGATCTTGTGTAGAAAAAATTTTTTTGTGTTTGGAATCACCTCCTCTGGTTCCTCTGGTCGTTATATTGCTAAAAAATCTGAATTGTCCATATATTGAGACTTCTGTCTGTCTATTGGTGGTATGACTCAGATATGCATTCAGTCCGTAAGGATAAAGTGACTTTTTTTGAAGTATGTAGATGGATTTCTTAAACAGTCTAAGTTTAGTGTTCGGTACAATATCAAGCACAGTAATTTCTATGTTATCAAAATTATGCATATTATAATGTTCTAGAATTGCAGTATGCTGGCTATTTTTTGTGAGATTATTGCTCTTATTTTTAAATTTTTTAATATGAGATCTATGGTTATTAATTTTGAGGTGATCTTAAAATTCACTTAGTTTGAAAACATGTTATTCTAATATTTGTGCAATAGCTGCAAAGTAAAATAATAATAATTTATTTACTAAAGAAATTTTGAGTATATTACCTCCTAATATTAATTTTAGTAGAAGTATCTAACTAAACATTATGAAATAGGACAGACTAAAGATAATGAAATAGGCTCATTTTTTTAGTAACAGCATAAGAAAAGTCTGAAAACAATTAGCTTTTTACATTATATACAACTTTGTAATGTACAAATCCTCCAACTGATAGTCATCCAACTTATACTGCCTTCTCAGGTTTACGAACAAATTATCATATCCCTATCAGTTAAAAGATTTAGAGTGAGTATTTAACGCCTGCATGACAATGGTTAATAAATTGATTAGGTATTAGATTATTTTTTGAGAATTTTAATAAGGAGCAAAATTTCGCGTTGTAGATCTATCGTATCTGTGTAAATGTTTTTAATATGTTGTATTTGATTTATTGTTGTATTACTTAGTACTGTATTGTTGCTTTTTTTTTTTATTCTTCCGACACCAAATGTTACAGTTTTTCTTTTTCTGACACCAGTTGTTATGTTACTTTCTTCCTTCACGTTCGTACGGGGTTCGTGTGGATTTGGAGTGAATAACGAAAACACTTGATGAAGTATCGAATAACACACTTTATTTAGACAATGCTGATCAGGACAGTTCCAAAGTCACGTTTTACAGTCGTTGAAGATCTACTATAAACACACTGACACGATCAGTGACACAGCTTCCAGGTTATCAAGCTATCACGGTGGAGACGGCTTCACGGCAAAGCACTTAAAGTACAGCTTGCGACTCTGCTTGGTCGTTCTCGGAACTCCCCGTACTCTCGAGACTCTCCACGCTACAACTCCCGATGCACTCGACGACACACAGAGCACAGCTCCCGACTCTTCGTTTCAGTTGTTCCCGGAGCTCAACACGCTCTCTCGATGATGCACTAACAGTGATACACTACGAGACTCCTTCGGTGAACTCGATGACCCACTCGGCACTCGCTGCTCGCTGTCAACTCGATCGACTCCACAAGGATTGACTCACTAGACAAGACACTGACTCTCTCGCACTCTCAACGAGGCACACTCACTGACTGCAGACTAGCAAGGTTTATATAGCTTTCAGCTTGTGTTCAAGAATATTTTGGACTATACCAGTAAGAATTCGTTCCAGAATGTTCTCCATCTGTTCATGGTATATCGCCAATTTTGTCGCCAAATGTGGCAACCCTGCCTACCCTCGCCATTTTATGGCAACCCTAAAACAGCTTTGTGGTGAAGCTATCCTACCGCGCCTGGACATTTTGTAACAGTACTACTTATACTTACTCTTTTTAGATACTTCTACTAAAATTAATATTAAGAGATAATATACTCAATATTTCTTTAGTAAATATATGTATATTTAACATGTTTTTCTTAAAATGTTTCCTGTGCATAATGCTGATAAGATAGAATGTAAATATTAAGTTAAAATTAAAACTAAACTGGCAAAAGAAAAACATATTAAACACTATAATATTGATTCAGCAAATTAATGGTATTGCAAATTGTAAATGGCGGGGGGAGGGGGGGTTACGTTAAACTACAAATGCAGTCAAAATAATTTGCAAGATCATATTAATTAAAATACAGTAGTAGAAATGAGTAAACAGCGGAAAAGGCTGTATCATTTATTATCTTCACACTCTTATATTGTCAAGATGAGGTAAAGCCTTCTTATGATAACACACTTTTTCCGGGCTGATCTATTCTGTTTCTGTAATCTTAAAATTATCTGAGGCACTGAATGAATAATATAAATACTTTCAGTACTGGGTTAGGTTTCTTCTCAAAGGTAGGAGTTTTTAATTTTCAGGGATACTGAAAGTATTGAATCATTAATTCAGTACCTCGGATAATTTTAAGCTTACAGAAACTGAATAAATCAGTAAGGAAAAGTATATCATCATAAGAAAGCTTCACCTCCTCTTGACAATGTAAAAGTCTAAAGATAATAAATACAGCATTTTACACTTTTTAGTCACTTCCATTGCTGTTTTAATTTATATGATCTTGCAAATTATTTTCACTCCATTTTCATTTTTTTTTTTAATTTTTACTTCTAAAATTTAATTTTATTAATAATTTGCAACAGTATTAATATGGTCAATTAATAATATACTATTTATTTTACTTTATTTTGGCCTGTTTAGCTTTAATTTGACCTGATCAATATTATACATATATATATTACTTTGTAAGAATACTATCATGAAAAAAGTAGAGTGAAAGTCTATTGTACTGAAAAAATATTTATGCTTCACAATATAAAATAAAAATTCAAAACACAATTTTCTGATTGTATTTTACTATACAGAGAAAATATACTAATATTGTATGCAATAGATAGATATTTATGGCACTACTAAACGTTGTTTTAAAATATGGAGAAAAATACAAATAATTAAAACTAAATAAATTAAAACGATTCCATTAATTAATTTAACAACTTATTAAATTTCAATAGCTTCATAACATAAAAAATTCGATAGATTTCATATTTGAACATGTAATAAAAAGAAAATATCAAAACAACCAATTTTAGTGCCACTATCTAAGAAATAAATAAATAAATAAATAAAAGAAAGAGATTAATTAGATTGCACACTGCTTTATTACCAAAAAAACATAATGCTAAAAATAATTTTTTAAATAAAAAATCAAATAGCCCAAACCATTTTGCATTATCTTCATTTGATATTCAAGTCACAGAAATTTATCAAAATTTTCCAAGTAGTACTACAGCGTAGTACTTACAGAAAGTACTACTTCCGAGTAGTACTTACAGAAATTCAACCTTATGAATAATGTCAAATTCTTAATAAATAAGTTTACTAAAAAACTGTGGAGGCACATGTTTTTCTCCTTTACAAATAGATGCCCTCATTGGAATACAGTCAAAAGTCGTTAATTCGGACACCCATAATCCGGAATGATCTATAATCCGGACCTCAAAGCTAAAAACTTTCTGCGCATGCGCCGCGTTGACACCCTGCGGATAGGCGATTACGCGTGCGCGTAAGACCTTTTACGTCTGCGCATATACGTGTGCGCAAGTGCAGAATATGTTTTTCGCGTGCGCGTTTTATGTATAACAGACGGAATAAGCTAAAATCATCTAATTATCTATTTCAGTTAATGTTGATGATTGTGTTGTTCCTTAATTTTCGAATTGGATCCCGCTTATTATTTTTTGCAGACTGTAAGAGCAATACTATAAAAGTAAACTTGAACTTTTGATTATATCAAATAGAATTTTCGATGCTGGAGCTCCCAAACGATCTACAAAACGAAAGTATGTTCCGATGTCCATCAAACAAAAAGTGGAATTGCTGCAAAAAATGGATAAAGACATGAAGAAGGTGACAGAGAGGTTAGTGAAAACGAAAAAATTTCGATTGACAAGTTATAGTCGGTATTCTCGGCACTGCAATTACGGGACTTGAACAGCAGAACTTCGTAACTGAACAAGAAATTATGTCTGTTTATAGAATTAAAGAGAAAGTATTATCACATAAAACGAAGCAACTTAAACAACTTACATTGAAAGAAAAGTTTAATAAAGTAAACAAATAAATATTAAGCCTTTTTTTTTTTTTTTTTTTTTTTTTTTTTGTAAATTTTGATACCCTTTAGATCATAATTGTTCTTTATTTCATAAATTACGGTTTCATATTTTTAATTTTAGAATTTCTGCATGCCATCTTACGAGATTTAAACAGATGATCTATAATCCGGAAAAATCGATAATCCGGAATCGCAGAAGTCCCGACGAGTCCGGATTAACGACTTTTGACTGTACATAAGGAAAGGAGGCAACTTATGATTAAATTACATGTGGGTAAATTACAGAAATATCCAGATAGCCATCTTTATCACTGATGCCATAAATAGCAAGAGACTTCAAACTTTACATTAATTCAGATATGTCTATCATTTTTAATATTATTAATTCAAATTGTTCTACAGGACACGATAGGAAAAAATTTAAATAAGTTTAAAGAGAAAGTTATCTGTTAGTCATCATACCTCTTTTAATTTTTTTCCATAACTATGGTTCATACTTAATTTAGAAAAATAGACATATAAATAAAATTAATATGCAGTTATTTCATCTTAACAGCCATCCATTTCAAATTGAAATAGATTAACTAAAATCGACAAAAATGCATGTATTTTGTCACAAATTTTTCTCAACTTGATGAAAAAAATTTAAGCCCCCCCCAAAAAAAAGAAAAAGATAAAAACTAATATATATATAATGGCAAACAAATATTAAACACTTTACTCATGACTTAAGATATGCATTACACAAAAAAAGAAATACCTTATCGCCTCGGAGTTCTTGCAAAAATGCTGTTGGTGCAGTAAACCCAGCTTTCTTATTGTTCATTAATGTTGTCGATTCATAGTCATCATCCTATAAAAAACAGAAAACCCATCAACAAATAAATTAAACATCAAAGAAACTAAACAATTACATTAAACATCAGAGAAACTATGTTAAAACAAACTCAGAATTATAAATATATACAAGTTATCTAATTATAAAATCAGCATCTGAAAATCAAATAGATGGATAACTTTCACCCTCCCCCCAATGAGAACAATGCTTGAGACTGTCTGATAGTTCTTCACATAAAGAAATTTCACAGCAAAATTAGTTGGTTAGAGTTGACTTAAGAGTACCCTTTGTATTATCGCAAAGTTGTTTTATTTATGGTAACCTGAGTAGTTGAATGTTATGAAAACCCTATTATGACATAACCAGTTGCATTATTCCAGGAAAATTTGAATAATTTGAATTTTTTTGTAAGGGCTTTTGTGTTGTGTGTTGGTTAATAAGTACTTTGCATGTTTTATTGTTTAGACCAGTGTTTCTTAACCTTTCTAGCAAGTCGCACCCCATTAAATCAGAAAATATATCTCCGCTCCCCAATAAAAAAGGTGTTTTAATTTTTTTAGTCTAGAAAAATACATTTTTTGCGAAACTTATTGAAAAACATTGTACATTTTATATAAATACAAAAGAATATTATTTTCATTAATGACTAGTCTGTTGTTGTTTGTTCATTATTATACCGGCGAAGCGAGGTTCCTTTTTTGAAAGACATACGCGTAAGTCATCACTTGCATTTAAGCGATTTCTCGCTTTAGTTTTTATACGCAAAAGCGATGAAAATCCCATTTCACACAAGTAGGTGGTAGCAAAGGGTAAGAGTAACTGCAATGCTCCGTTCGCCAACTCTGGATAACGTTGTAACAGTGAACACCAGAATTGTTGCAATTCTAATTGTTCGAATTCTATTTGAACATGTCCACTTGCTCACATTTCAATAAGTTGATCTTTTTTCAGATCACTATCATCCATTAAATTTAAGTCAAAATAGAAATGGATCCAGTAATCCATCTCTGAGTTTTTGGTAATATTTCCTGGTAGAAAAATATCCATTGAATGATTCGCTCAATCGTCTCAATATGTATTACAATGTCGGGTGTAATTCGTATTCTTTTAATTTTTCACAATAACAGAATCAAGGCAAAGGAAAGTTTGCAAAATTCCCCTTTTCTACTCGTCGTATCCAAATTTCTAATTTTGCGATAAATGAAGATATTTTTCACTAGATATTATTATATTATACCAAATCCTTATTGATAGATTCAATTCATTTAAATGGCTAATATGTCTGCTAAGTATATGTGAAAAGTTAACATACATAAAAAATAGATTGACGGAAAAAAAATATATATATATATGAAAAGTTAATACATATAAAAAATATATATATATGGACTGAAAAAATGCCAATACATAAAATGCAAAAATTATAATGAAAACATAAATTGCAAAAATACAATAATTACATAGCGGAAAAATGCTAAATTAACCCACTCGTACCCTCAACAGGCTTTTCAAGGGAAAAATGACTGAGTGTCGAACTAGGCTAAAAATACCATCACGCGTTTCGCCGAAACAAACCATTGAAGCTCTTGTTTAATGCAAAAATTTTTTTATAAAAACATGAATATTCCCGAATAAATCTTTTTTGGAGCTTCACTGCTCTGTTCCCTTTTCCCGATGCGTCCGCTGAAAAACCCATTAGGGTGTTAAAAAGTAATTGCAACTCCGAGCAATGTAAAATTAAAATCAAAATAAAATAAATAGTGGTCTGCTATTAGTAAAAAAATTTACAACAACGTACGGGCTGGTCCTGTATAGCTTAAAGAAGATAGAACTGCTGTAATCAAATTAATATGCAATTAAATTTGCATGAAAACAAACGTCGTAGGGTCTTATTAGGACCAAAAAAACACAGACAAAAAGAAACGAAAAAACTGACCTGGGAGGTTCTGTCCTTTGCATCCGAAAAACATTGTACATTTTATATAAATAGAAAAGAATATTATTTTCATTAATGACTAGTCTGTTGTTGTTTGTTCATTATTATACCGGCGAAGCAAGGTTCCTTTTTTGAAAGACACACGTGTAAGTCATCACTTGCATTTAAGCGATTTCTCGCTTTAGTTTTTATACGCAAAATCGATGAAAATCCCATTTCGCACATGCAGGTGGTAGCAAAGGGTAAGAGTAACTGCAATGCTCCGTTTGCCAACTCTGGATAACGTTGGATCCAGTATCCATCTCTGAGTTTGGGTAATATTTCCAGTAGAAAAATATCCATTGAATGATTCGCTCAATCGTCTCAAATGTATTACAATGTCGGGTGTAATCGTATTCCTTTCATTTTTCGCATTAACAGAATCAAGCAAGGGAAAGTTTGCAAAATTCCCCTTTTCTACTCGACATATCCAAATTTCTAATTTTGTGATAAATGAAGATATTTTTTCACTAGATATTATTATATTTATACCAAATCCTTATTGATAGATTCAATTCATTTGAATGGCTAAATATGTCTGCTAAGTAAGCCAGCCTCAGCATTGCATCATTACTTTCAAAATCTTTTACTAAATAACAGTTTTGACTAGTCAGTAATTAAATAATTTCCTCACGCAATTGAAAAACTCTGTTAAGCATGCGACCCTTAGATAACCATCATATTTCAGTGTGATATAGGAGCACGGTATGATCAGGACCGATTTCTTCGCAAAATGCACGAGAAATGTGATAATTAAGCGTTCGTCCTCGAATGTATTTTACTACATTTACTGCTGTAGTTAGATGTTGTTTTAAACTTTCTGGCAATGCTTTCGACGCAAGTGCATGATGATGCAACATGCAATACGTTATTATAACTTCCGGTAATTTACTTTTCATGTTTAAAAAAAATCCTGAATATTTGCCTAACATTGCTGGAGCTCTATCAGTGCAAACTGAGCCAATCACATTCATCGGTAATTGATATTTAGTAAAAAAATCTTTGATGCGATTGGAAACATCAATTCCTCTCGTATTCACCTCCAGTGGTTCACAAAATAGAAATTCTTCTATCACCTCTTTTTAATTCACATACCTGACAAATACCAAAAGTTGGCTACAATTATCAACATCAGTTGACACATCCAGTTGCATGCTTATTTTTAGTGGACTGATTTTTCGTGTCTTCAATTACTTGCATTAAAATATCTTCACTGAGATCTTGTATTCGACGATCGTATAATATCATTCGATAATGGAAATCTGTTGGATTTTTTTATGTGCTTCCGAATCTAAACACTGTTTTAGCAATAATTAAAGCAGAAGGTTTAATCAACTCTTTCAGCGATCGTGTGAGGTTTCTTTTTTCTTTTTTTTTTTTTTTCCACATAAATATGCCTACTTGAAATGATGCTTCTAATAAAGGTTTTTGAATTGCTGGTCCGCACAATTTTAGGATAGTTCCACTGGTATTCAAACCGAGCCTTCTTTGACTTTCAAGCTATTTCATGCTATGCGCTTTTTTCGCGCCCCCATGCAGACTGTTGAAATGCTCTTGATAACTTGATGGTTTGAGATTGCTGTTTGAAAATGTATCTTGGAACACAAGATGCATTGCGGTCGTTGCGTGCCATCTTTTTCGGTTGTGCAGGTAAATCCATAACCGGCATACTTATCGTTCCAATTGTCGATTTCTTTGACATAGTGGGGTTCACTATAATCGATTTAATTATTTAGAAATAATGTAATATAATATATATAATGTTCTTACGTTTATAATATCACTGAATCCTATTCGGCTTTAACGGACAATTAAGAATGTATTAGTCTCAAGAGGTTTCTGGACAAGTCAGAATACACAATACACATGTCGCAGACACAATAGTTGACTCAACTTGACTCAACCTAACACAAGTGCAGTAGATGCAGATACAAATCTGTGAATCCGTAGATTCCATTGGAGTATTGAACTCAGCGCATGCGCAAGCTGGGATAACGTTCTCCGCTTGTATTCCCACAGTTTTTTTTCTTTTTTCCGTCCCCTAGCTGCCTGTTCGCGTTCATTTGTACCGTTTCATGCCTTTTCGTAGCGTTGTATACGTCCATTGGCACCGGCGTTTTCCTGTGTCTTTTGCCGATAAGTGAGCTAGATGCTACCAATTTTTATGAGCTTCAATATTGGGAACACTATTGCAGATTTCAAATATTTTATTATAAGAAATTTAATAAATGATATATAATAATTTGTATGGTTAGGTAGGGGCTTCTCCAGCACGCCCAAGAATACATTCCCGCACCCCAGCCCCGGTTAAGAACCACTGGTTTAGATGGTAGAATGTAGTAAGATTAATTTGAAGTTTCTGTATGATTTGGGAAAAGAGCATTAAATGGCTGGTGTGTAAATGAAAGTTTACTTAGTAGCCATTTTTTGGGCAGTCCGGAACTATAGAGGATATTTGGTACTTACATATTAATGCCATCGCAGCAGAAGTTGCGCAGAAATGCCAATAAAGAGCAATCCTGTTGTTCGCACACAGTTAAATCTTTTGGATCAGTGTTAAAAAGGAGCAAACAATGCTCCTTTTTAACGCTGATTTTTGACATTGATTAAATTTTGTGAAAAGCAACTTGATTTATCAGATAAAACTGTTATAGATTGGGAACAATTAGGTGCGGGAATTATGTGTCTTGGATATGGTGAATAAAATAAACATGGAGTCGGGCAGGCTTTGGGGTAAAAGGTTCGGAGCTGGAATCACTAAAAACAGGTCGACTTCGACTCCAGTTTTTGTTGGACAGTTTAAATTTGAAATGAAATTAAAATGAACTGAAAAAAATTAATGACAAGCTCAGTTATTATGTTTATTTACAGACTGTATACATTAATAAATAGCTATTTTCTATTTTATTGACATATTAATAAATAAATATAAGGATGGATGTGATATTTGCCATTAGCAATTAAACTGATTCATTTAGTTACAAATCTCGCTGGTAAATTTAGGTAAGCAGCAATAACAGCAAGAACTCCCAAATTTGATGCCATTCTTAGGAAACAAGCAGGAAAAGGAACAATTATTGATCAAGCAATGCAACAAGGAAGTACATATTTGATAATAAAGAGTTTTTAGAATTAAGAACACTTTAAGAAGTCCCAATGTTTCACTAACAGAAAGACTGTGGAATGATTTTGCAGAATTGAAAACTCTTCTTTCTACCCATATATAGCCACAAAAAAGCTGCAATCTGAAGAATTGACAGGAGGCGAGAATGAAAGAATGGGATGTTTGTTCTTTTTGAAATAGAAGGTTTATTGCAGAAGGAATCATTTTTTCAATAAAGAAAAGAAAAACTAGTTAGCTAGACAATGAGATCTTGCTGGGTTCTATATATGTAGATTCGAAACACCGAATTTTCTTGGATGATGAACAAATTAAAAAGGCAAAGAAAGTCATCCATGAACTTTTATTAAGAATGAAATTATTCTCAGAGAGAGAGAGAGAATTCGAATTTCTCTCTCAATTTGGAGAATTCGAATCAGGACAGTCAAACTTCAGACATTGCAACTGAGTCTCTGTCATCTTCTTCTAGTGATGAATTATATTTGAAGAAATATTTTTGAATAATATTGAAAAGGCTAAGCCAATGAAAATAAAGAACCAAGAGCCTTTAGATATAAAAATGAAAAATTACAAACAAGATTTCTAGAATGCCTTTGAAGAAATAGAGAAATATGATTGTGCTTGCAAGACACCTCTTTTAGAACTTATGAAAATCTATCCTGAAAAGTTAAAAGATGTAGCCCTAACAGTAACAGCTCTTCCTCCTACTCAAGTTAGTGTGGAAAGGCTCTTCTCAGCTCTGAAGTTTATCAAATTGGAACTATGGGCCCCAACAAAGATCTTGCTGTAGCTATACTATTTCTTAGAAATAACTAATGCCGGTTTTTCCATTTCATAATAAATGCTAATATAAATAATTTGCTATGCCATCAATTTTTTTTTTTTTCCTGTAGCATCTATTAATTCTTTTATATTAAAAAATAAACTGTAACCCATGCGTATATATATATATATATATACACGAGGGACTCGGAGTCGGTCATTTTCCCCACCGACTTCACAGCCCTGGTAAAAATAACTGTGGTCGAGTATTACCCAAACAGTGGGTGTTTGGTGGTTATGTAGAGAGACAAGAGATTTGTTTGTTGTCATTGTTCTCATAAAACTGGCTCTACACTTCTTAATAAAATTACTGAAAACATTGCAGATGGTAGCACAATTTATTCTAACAGTTGGAAAGATTACCAAACAAATAAAAAAGAAAAAGGATTCCTACATGCTAAAGTTAATCATAAAATACAATTTATTGATCGAACAGGAGTTCATCACAAACGTTGAAGAATGTGAGGCAGTGCAATGGAGAAACAAAAAATAGGGGGAAAGTGAGACATCATTTAGAAACTTATTTAGCACAGTTCATATGGCGACAGCATCAGGTCAAAGAAAATAGAGACCATTTTGAATCTATGTTAAATTCTATATTAACCCATTTTCCATCGAAATCCAACTGACTACTTTGATTTTAAATAAAGTGTTTTAATTTATGATTTGTCGCAAAAATTTTAGGAGTAGATTGCAGCATTTAAAAACTTCCAAATCTGCAGCTGCGTTGGCGTTAATACTTAAGTACTGGATATTTTTTGCTCTTATTTTTGTGAATTTTTGTGGCGACACCCATATATGGATTCCAGTTCAGATAATTTTAGGAAGTTTTTGGATGCTGTTAAGGAATTTTATATGCCACACACTAAGACTAAGAAATTTCTAAATAAGGTAAGTGGATATTTGCTTTGTATAGTGCTTAAATGCATAAGAGGTTTTTCCTTTTTTTATGCTATTTTATTGTTTGGTTTAAAATGTAGTTTATTGAGATAATTGGTTTTTGTTTGCCTCTACTGTAGAACTGGATGCTCCTTTGATTTTTTAAGTGAAAACATATGTGTACATGGACAAAGTGAAGGGAGTGCGCAATGCTGAGTTTGTGCAATTCTGGGGTGTTCTTTTAAGTGAAAGTAGGTCGATGTGTACATGAATATCGAGTTTAAACAATTTTTTGTCTTGTTATTTTGGCTTTGTGGCGATTTTTGGCGCAAACATCGGCGCTACACAAGCCAAAATAACAAGTCAAAGAATTGCATGAACTCAGTATCCACGTACCACCAAAAATTGCCAATTTTCGTCAAGCGGTACCTATAAATATACTATTGCCAATTTATTTTATAAAGAAAAACCAGATTCCACTGATATTCCTAAAAAATCTGCCATTATGGAAAACTTGAACTTGGAAGATGAAAGGTTTACCTGCATACTGAAAGAATGAGCCCTAGTTAAATTCAAAGCAAACTTTTAAGCCTTAATGGATTCTATAATTTTAAATTAAACACTTCGATTATAAAAATATCTGATGTGGATACCATCTGACTTCCTTGTACAACCTACTAAATTATACACATTTTTTGCTGCTCTTCATTTAAACTTATTTTCTTAAATTAATCTAACTTAATAAAACAATCCCTTAAGGCAAGTTGAAAATGACATCAAAAACTGCAAATTCTGAAATTAAATATTCTGCTTAATTTTTTCATACATGAGTCAAACTTCCATATTTTTATTTTTTTCATAATGAGTATAAAATTTTACCAAATATAAGCAAAGAAACAATAAATTTTATTTTTTGTTCAAATTTTTTTAAATTTGAAACTGCCAAAAGATGAATATTTTTATCATTTAAAACAATTTCTGCAATTGAAAGTATATGTCTACATCCAACTACTGTGAAAATAAAAGCGAGTAAGAACTTTTAATCGGGGTAAATTTCAACGATCTGCAGTTAATTGTTTTTGAGTTATGTGAGATACCTACACTTACAGCCATCACAGAAACATCTAATTTGAATCCATTTTAGAATTTGTTTTGGAATAAAAAATCCTTTATTTTGTTCCTGCATATAGATATTTCACAAAAAATTAATCAAAATGGATACTTCCGGTGAATCCAATTACCAAACTTTTTTTGCGATCACAATACTTCATACAAAGTAAAAAGACACAGATACAGGAAGAGTTTTTTGACAGAAAATTTTTAGAATGTCTGAATCTTAAATATTTCAAACAGAAACACACAAACATTTTCTAAGACTTATAAGAAGCAATGAAATCTACATGACTTTTCGTAACTGCATCATCACTTTCAAATGTTGGTACATGATGTGGTATTCCTTGAAATGGTGGTACATGAAGACAATTCAATAATAAACTTATACAAGCCATTTCTTTTCCACAGCAAACTGTTCAAGTTTAGAACACTAGCCTCAAGTTTAGAAGTTAATGTTATGAACCAGAAAGTTTAACAAGAAACATTCAGTTTCAAGTTTAGAAAACAGCTAAATTGTTCATCACTTTATTACTAGAAGTTCTAACAATCCTGAAGTTTTCTAATAACCACTGTCATAATATAATAACATCATTACCATCTGATTCACAAAGTATGATTTTTGACTGCTACTTACTCAAAGTAAACTAGCAGATAATGATACGTTTCTTTATATACAATTTAAAATACTGAAATGCAAATTTTTGACAGCATTCCTATTAGAACCAGTGCTTCAAGAATGAATGACTATACCAATAAGAGTCTTTAATACCTTTGTCTGTGTTTATAAAGAAGATTTTATCCTTATTCAATCAAAATTTATCAATATCAAAATTTTCACAGCAATCAGTCATGTACATGGAAAATTTATGAAAATAAAATTTTGAAAAAAATGTTAAAAATTTTTTATACATGTAAATAATTTTAGTGAAATTACATGTAAAATTGTAGTATCCCTTATATAACGCAATATGAAATGCCTCAAGATTCCAAAACTCTGTTGGAAAAATACGATTACTGGAGAAGTCTATTTAACACTGAAGTAAATGGCTATCTTGCGAAATTGGTGAGATAGCACCTAGCTTACAATGGTTTTGGTGACTAATTTTCGTTGCCAAAGTTCGCAAGCAATTGTCAAATGTCGCCAGTCTTGGTGGCCATTTAGTGACATTTTGGTCCGATTCCTTGTATAACTGTAATTAGTCTACTTCCTATGTAACTGCTACTGTATCTGGACCTATGTGTAGTAATTGTATATGCATTCCAGCAATTTTGAAAAATTGAAAGTACTGGAAATGTCTTGGCAGTTAGGAGAAAATTATATAAGATCGAAGAGAGTATCAGTTCTCAGTTTAGTTCACAGTATTGAGAGTACTGAGAGTTAACTGAAGGACCTTTGAATTTGAGGTTTTTTATAATACATTGTGTTTAACGTTCTTAGGAGTTTGAAGTGGTAACTACCGACTGTGTACTGTCATACTCAGATGAGCCGTATGAGTACTTTTATGAAAGGTTCAAGAACTGTACTGTGTTTCTTTCGATAGAATAAATTTAATCAAGTTATCATCAGTTCTGTGTTTCATTACGAACCTGTATGCATGTAACAATACATATTTAATGCTAAACTTGATATACTTACATCTGCATCTGCTTCATCATTAGCAGCAATTGATGTCACATAGCCCTCATATTTGGATTTACTGCCTCCATAAATATCTTCATCCATATAAATACCAGCAGATGCAGTGAGAGGAACACCTTCCCCATTCTCTTCTCCTTCTGCTGCGGCTAAGCTAGCTCGAGCTTGTATTTCTCGAATTTTTTCTTCAATTTCTGAAAAAAATAATAATAAATAAGTAAAAAAGCACAGATTATACACTGTCATCACTGTGATGGAAATTGAAAAATACTACTTACATTAGACATAAACTATATTTGGCAAAAAATAACCACAAAAAATTCAACCTTTTTGAAAGAAAGTTCATTCCTGGAGTTACAAAGCCTGCGTAATACTGGTCATAATGAAAGTTTTCCAACAAAAACATTCTTAATAAAAATAGAAAAAAAAATATGGGTACTTTTCCATTTCACCGGCGCAAATCTCGCCAAGTAGACTTTATAAGCGACAACACACAGTACACAAAAAATTTTTAATAATGCTGCAAATCTCACCAAAGCAGACTTTACTGACGACAACACACAATGTTAACAAATTTTAGTTCTATGATTTTTTTAATTTGGAGGCATAAACATTTAAATATCGTTAAAAATTTTTCAAATGGGCCTTTCGTTTGCCTTCTCCATATAAATTCTTTGAGATAACTTTCCAGATGATAGTGTGCCATTCCTCTGTGTTTCTTATTTCGCCATTTGGCCGTTACGCCACAACCTTTCTTCTTTCTTTTTTTGGCTAATCTTTGGAATATGGTAACAGGTAGTTTGGCGACATTTTGGTAAGGCGATAAAGGTTACTAGCTAGGACTTTAGCAGTGTATATGGATAAGTCAAGAGTGTGCACAATGCCATTTTTGTGCAATTCTGGGATTTTTTTAAGTGAAAATAGGTCGATGGTACATGTTACCGTGTATGTGCAATTCTTAAAAACGCGGCAAGCAGTTTGCGATTCTGCACTTTCTTCCAATTTCGCACCTAATCTTTGTCAAGATTAAGCACTTTTGTTCCATAAAAGTTCTAGCATAAGCGTAAATTTTGCCTGATATAACCTGACAGATTGTTCCTCTGTTCTGGGCAAATCCCCATTGGCTGTGTGGCAAGATTTGCTGAGAAACAAAAGAACGTTTCCTAGTTGCTGTGCCAAACTGCCATGCAGGACTTGGTTTAAAGTTATTCAAGAAAATATTATTGATGGCACTATAGGACATAACAGTGAAGAATGCAGACAGACTATAGTTGACCTTTACTATACGGTACAGCTTGGTTTCAGTCTGAAAAAATCACCAAGTGGTATTGATTATTCAGGAAATCTGGAAGCCCGCTGCGTGACAGAGGCTTTTTGGTAACCCTAATGTTGGTGAAACTAATCTTGGGAAAAATTGTGTTTTAGTTTTTGTCATTAAAAAGGGGTTATTTCTGCAAATATCGCCAAACGTTTTGCGATAAATTTAGATTTTGGCTATTTTTGTAACAGTAACCCTTTCATATGGACCCAGGTTTGGTTTTCAGTTGCTGTGTTTGCTTGGATGTGCGTGGTATGGTTTTGTATTTTGAACTTGCTATTATTTTTTGTGGGTACCACCATTTGAGTATGTATGAGGTGGATAAGAGGATTGTTGATTACCAGTAGATGAGCCGAAGTGACCAAAGATTTAATTGAATTGCTCACGTGGAGGATGGACGAGATAGTGGTGGGAAGCATGAACATATGCACGTAAAAGAAAGGCATGTTAAAAAATCGACGTATTGTTTATTTATTCACCTCTGTGTGCTAATTTTTATTAAAATATTTGTTGTTTAATGTTTTTATGTTAAGAAATGTGTATTTCTGGTTATTTATTACTTTCTGTGTATTTTTGATTATTTGTGTGTTAAGACAGTGGCAAATTTTTTCTGGTTAACATGATAGTTTTAGCTTCCTGAAGTGAAAATAGATTGATGTGTACAAAGTTAAGGCAGTGGTGCGCAATGCCTAGTTTATAAAATTCTCTGATTTTCTTTTAAGTTAAAATACATCGATGTGTACATGGACACCAAGTCTGTGTAAGTCTTTGACTTCTTGTTTTAGTTTTGTGTAGCGAGCGGAAGGATTGGCACCATCTTGAAATTGGTGCTGATCCTTCCTGGCGCCGATCTTGGTGTCAAAAAAGAGACGATTCGCCAAGGGGTACCGCAAATTGAAACCACAGACCCCACTTGAACATTTCTGCATTAACCATAAATACAATTTTATTGAGCATGATACTGGTTACCAAATGCAAACTTTTGAAAGATCATGGGGTAATACAAAATGATGAAATAAATGTCAATGCAACATTGACCTTAGCCAATTGTATTCTTATTTAATTGAATTTATGTGGTGGCAACAAGATTCTACAAAACAAATGCTTTCAGACATTTTAAATTATATCCACAGTTCCATTGCTTTTGCTTTTTTTTTTTTTTTTTTTTTTACACTTCAAATTTTTCAGACTGTCAGCTTCTGGCAATATATCTGAATCTGGTCCCGATAACAGAAAAGTACCATACTGTGTATCAGAAGCAAGAGTTACACATAAACAAAATAGTAAAAGACTGCGGCTCTCTGCTAAATGGCAAGATAAAAATCAATGACCCATGGTTTGCCATTATCACGAGTCTAATTTTGCAGAGTTCACATGGTGAAAGTTCTTGAGATGAGAAAATTAATCTGTAGCAATATTTGAAGCAATTGAGAAAGCATGGCAGTTAGAGAGTGCATGCTAGTAAATGTGAACTTGATATTTTGACACCAACTTGTATTTAAAAATTAGGAACTGTAATAATAATTAGCAATTTTTTTAAATATTGAAGTATTTCTCGTGTTTATTCTTTATGTGATTGAAGCAAAAAAAAAAAATCTTTTTTTATGTTACATATGATTGATTAGCTTCAGGTCATAATGCATAAATGTCTATAAAAGGTTTGAAATATTTAAACAAATACCAAATATACTTAATGATAAAACACACAAAAAGAAAAGCATTTTGGCACAAATCACAAGCACTAAAGTATAAGACTGTTAAAAACCAGGTTCTCAATCTATCATTTTTCATTGCGAAAAATCCAAGAAAAAACGTTCTTTGATAAAAAGTTTCTTCTTGGATTTTTCGCAATAATTTAAAAACGGATTTTCGTAGTTTTCTTTTTTGGCAAAAAACGTTTCTTCTTAACACGTGTTTCTCAATTTCCTGTACACATCGCGGAGAGGGAAATTCTGGCCGCCAGGTTCCGTCGCCAATTTCCTTGGCAAATTTTCCCTCCGCTTTCTAGCGGCGTAACAGCATTTACGTGTATGGAACCTTTTCTTCTTTACATAGATGTTCTTTGGTTAGAATAATCTCCATGTATGGTACAGCGGGATTTGGCGACATGGTGATGAGCAGTAAACGGGTCATTTTGTTCTTGGCGACAATTTTCAAAATCATGCGAAGGCTGTACCGTATACTAGGATTTTACCGCAAAATCTTTTTTTCCTTTTTCTTTCTTTTTAATAAATACCTTGTCATTTTGCAGTAAAAAAAAAAATAGTAATCAATCATCTAGGCTAACTATATTCGCTAAAATATCGTTGATTATTCTAATTAAATTTTTAAGTAATTATCTTTATTTTTATGTTATTCATATCATTTAATGTTGCTTCTTCCCTCTAAATTTATTTATCATTAGTAAATAATATTTCCAAATTTCAGGAAATTTTCTCTGGCATAATCCTGAAATTAATTCTAGCAGTATGATGACATCACGAAATTTAATGCACATATTTTTTCCTTATGTATGCTGCGAAATAAATATAAAATACCTCAATTTAGTAAAAAAAATATCATTAAATAGATTTCTTTCTTTCGTTTAGCTGCAGAATGTCTGCAAAAAAAGCCTTATTTTATTCCAGATTGGGCAGATTCTAATCTCAATCTTCAGTGGAGAAAACAACTCCTATTATAATTATATTTGTGTTTTCAAGTGTTAAGGTGCCTTTTAAGAATACACCTCACACAAATTAAATTTACCTAAAATCTAACCTAACTTTTAGCATTGCGTTGTGATTTATAAGAACCGGATTAGCCTCGTGTTGAACTGGGGATGATCATGAGTAATAATTAAATAAAACGTACAGTTGTTATCCAATGTATATATCTTAAATTAAGTTTCTTAAGCGGAAAAGTAAACAAAATTATCAAACAAAGTGTACCAAGAATAATTAAGAATAAATGTCCTATGGGATTTATTGAATAATTAAGTGAATTTGCTACACAGTACAAGTAATACCATAATTAATTTACCTGTTAGCATAGCCAACGTACATTACGCGGATAGCTGGAATTTTCTCGAACATACCTGGAAAAGTCAGGGAATTTCATTCTCCTGTTTGAGTGGCAACCCTGATTTTATTTTTTAATCTGACCTGTTCTACTCCACTTTAATTACATGATTTATAAATACAATTCTAATCACTTTGCATTTGTTATTATTCTTAGTATAAAAACACATCTGTCACAATTCCCAGTAGACAGTTTAGCATAAACATCATACATAGCTTTAAATCTCTCCTTTTTCCAGAGACAGTCTATTATGGAATAATTCATTAACTACAAGCAAGCATTATTCAAAAGATAAGTCTGAATATACGGAATGCTGTATTTTAATTCCAACACTTAGTACTGAGAATAATCTCAAAATGCTATAATATATGCACACTTTTAAATTGTACTATACATAACAAAGAAAATGTTCCCATTACAAAAATTGGAAAGAAAAACACACATTTCCACTGAACTTCTGAAACTAGAAGACAATAATTTCCTCAATTAAATTATTGCATTGAATACGTAACAAGCAACTTTGGTGAGCAGAATTTCCAATGCTTCATCAATATTTTCAATATTTCATCAATACTAAAATAATTCTTAAGCCTCTCCATTAAGTATAGTTAATCAACACAAAATATAAAATTACTGTAAACACATCATGTTGACATTGTTACCAAAATTAGGCTTACCTTCATGTGTTCGCGGGACGACGGCCGCCATGTCTATACAAGTTATGTAATATATTACTTATGTCTTTATTTTAACACAGTCTTTGGACAGAAAATAAATTTTTATTTCTCAATTAATATGCTTTTCATATGTATTCCTTAAGTTCTCAAACTATAACATTATTACAAGTCACTTTGCAACATTACAAACATACAAACTTTTCATGTTGCCAACTAAATTGTATATATTTTCAGATTATTTTGCGTCTTCAGGCTATCCTTAAATTAATTTTAGCGATAATAATATATTTCTTGTTTTACTTTTTCACATATAAGGAAGGAATGCATATTTTTAATTTAAAATTGTAATTTTTAAACTAAGACCTACATTATGGTACTTAATTTCATGTTCTGACGGGTAATTTATAAATTTTATGTTTTAAATTTCCTTCTACTTTTATTTTAATTTGTAGTGTTTAAATATGTATATATTAACAAATGCATTAAAGAATACGCAGTATATATCCAAATTATGCACATCCTAAATTAAACATTCATATTATGTTATATTATGTTTGAGTTAAAAAAATTATTTAAGTAGTTTTAATTGTGCCAATATGAATATCAATTTCCAGTAGTTTTAAGAATCTCCTATATAATTCAAGTTAAATTAAATTCCTGTAAATATTTTGGTGATACTTTGGTAGACGGTAGCACGGATTTTGGTGACTTTTTTGGCTATTTCTTTTGGCGAGCGATACGACTTATGGTATACCCATTGCTGTACCAGTTATTTATGGTAACCGATACTTTGTTGTCATTTTATTTAAAAAATAATGCGTTTTATTATGATAAATTCCGTGTTTAAAATATTAGTTATGACTTCTAAATAATAAAAATGAATTTAATTTTTCATTTTTATTTAAATAAAAATTTTATGTTTATGATATTTTATGGAATTTCATGTTGTGGATGATGTAATGAGACGTCACATTTTTTAAAAGTAATTAGTTTTAGGGGCGAATCAGTGCAACGCTCTGATAAATTGCAAATGTTAGCTCGCAAGAGCGGCAGTGCCTTCAGAAAAGGTTTCATTCATTGAAGCAAACCCATTTAATCTGAATCAACTGATGATTCACGCTCCGACATTTCAAAAGCATTAGCTGTCTCTTAAATGCCAAGGAATTTGATCAGCATTTATCCGATATCTTAAACTCTGAGCAAAATCACTAAGCCATCTTGTTTACAGTCGCTGTTAAGAGTTTGCGGCAGGTCAGAGTAGCCGCAAATTCCTCTATGGTAGTGACGTATTCAGTAGGGGTCCGAAAAGCGTTGCACTTGAATCCGATTTGCAATGCAAGTGCGATTTACCTGACTAGCGTTGCACTTCAATTCCCCTTAGGGGCGAATCAGTGCAACGCTGATAAAAATGCAAATGTTAACTCGCAAGACGCGTTCTGCTAGGCTGCTAAAGTCGAATTAAGTGCAACGCTTTACAGCTCTGGTAACTGATGACGTCAAAATTGCAAGGGAGTGGTTGCTCTCGTGCCAGGAAGCTTGTCCGATAAACTACATCAAATCCAAGAGACTGGTGTCGATGTAAAAAAACATCAGTTTCCCATGATTCTTCTGAGCTTATGGTGAAGTGTTACGGGTGTAGTGTGGTGCGTTGTACTGTGGGTGTAACGAAGGGTAGGTTTCAGTCCTGAAAAACGAAGGAAATATACAGACAGTAATGTAATGACTGGTACAACTTTATTTCTTTATCCTATAGATCTTTTCCTCCAAAGTAATCAGAGCAACGTGTGTGTAAAATATATTTTACTTTTCAGACAAAATACTGCTTTTTAATAAAACCACAATTTTTTCCCCATTTCAAATTACAGCATTTGGTTTTTATTCTTCTAATAGTAGTTTAGTTTAAAATTCAAATTTGTGTTATATTTATTGTTCAATGCAGAGCATGATTCTTCAGGACAGTAGGCATGTTTACATATGAATTTAACTAGTTCTTGAATTATATTGTAATAAAGCCCATCTATGTGAAAGCAGATAAGCCTGCTGAACACTGCTATCCCAGTCTCTCTTAAAATCCAGGCAAAAAGCTAGCTGCATGTGTTTCTTCGTTTTCATGTATAAACATGAATACTAAAATTTTCCTTAGTTTTCCATGCGCATTCCTTCCCTTAGACATTCATTATGTGATCAACGGTAAGAGCAATTTTAAGGTTTAATTGTATTTTGGGAAAATATAAAAATGAAATTAAAAGGTATTTCAATATAATACAATAAAAAAAAATTATAAACTCTGAATTGAGTAGTGATCTTCTAATGTGATATTAATGTAATTATACATCCAGAGTAAAGGTTTAATTATAAATTATGCTTGTGTTCGCTCATAATATTGTGCATTTACAGTACACTTTCTTCTTAAGTGAAAGTTTGGACCCATTTCTCGTTGATATCATTATTTCAGATTTATTTATTTCATAAAATTTCAAAAAAACAATTTTTGGCTATTAAAAGCTACAAGTGCAGTAACAAAAGCTTAATTTCTTTACTGCAACTGTGTCATGCTTTTCTGCTCATAATGAAAGTCGTCTTTTAATAAGATTTCTTTCATTGCATATATTAATTATGTCTTTTACCAT